TGTGTGTGTGTGCGTGTGTGGGCACAGGGGAAGGTGTGAGTGTGAGTGAACAAGAGAAAAAAAATCAAAGACATGGAAGAAAAGCTATTTCTCTTAAAAAACTGATGGTTACTGTTATAGTCTTACCATGGAAAATCTTAAGGCACATGATACTTCAAACATCTCACATTCAGCAGTGGTTGCTTCCCCTCGACCTTTTCATCGGTATCTGCGGGCAAATCGTTTGTGCCGACCCCCTGAGGGAGTGGTGATCTCGCTTAGTGTCGTGTCGGGAATCCCCCCGGCGGTGCTGGGCCCCGCCATGCTAATTTCCCGTGTATGTTTACACAGGCACACAGGCACGAAGCCAGGTCCTGTGGTCGTGTACCGCGGTAAGGGACACATCCCCTCTAAATGCACACAGGAGTGAAGACAGAAAACAGGACAATTTTCTTTTAATTGTCCAAATTAGGATTTTCCTTCCAATACATGTGTATTTATAAATACTGCAGTGTTTTAGAAAGTGACACAATAAAGGAAATCACACTGTATAACAGGAGCATGCCAGTCACCTGTGGAGGAGGTCTGACGGATGGCAGGATCCTCGCTCCCATGGTTCCCTGCCTACCGTTCAGCTCATGAAAGGAGAATTAGTAGCTTTCAGACTGACACTAACTGATGCTAGTATTGCCTTGACGTTAGCAGTGAAAGTTTCCAAGTTCCCTCCCAGCCAGCTGTGAAGTTTACACCATGATGAAAAAAAAAACTGGCACACAGAACATAAACATCCACAATTTTTTCATGCTTGTTTCGAAGGACATGAAAAGATGTGTTACAAAAATGGACTGAACTGCATCAGTGCCTGTATGGGCTTCACACAGCTGCCTGTATGTCTCCATGCCAGTCTCCCGCATCCCACTGATTCTCCGTGCCCGTGTTTGGCGACCCATCCCCCCCCCCCAGCCATCCCTGATAGTGTTTGGCAACCAGCTCTGCAATAGAAAATGACTTCTTTTTTTTTTCCGCTTCTACAAAGTGGCAGATAAGTCTTTTGCTCTTGACGATACAAAAACGTAACTTGGTAATCAGCATTACTACTGGTTTTCACACTGTTAGGTTAGCAGTTATTACTTTTTACAAAAAAAAAAACAACCAAACCCCAAATGCAGAGTCTGGGCTTCCGGTCCATCGCTTTGCTTGGCTACATGGCTAACGATAGATAAAGGTCAGTATTTGCTTATTATTTTAACCCTAATATACATTTATGAAACCAAGAAAAATATAAACTGCTTTGAAAGGAAAGAGCTCCCAGCAAACTTCTGTTCCTCTCCACTTCTGTTACCCTAAATCGCCAATGGATTGCTCACCAGTTACCTTCCTGAAAACAGAGGGCAGTGAACCGGGTTCTCCGACCGCGCTCAGTGCGTCCAGCGGATTCACCCGTCCCTAGCAGACCTAAAACATGAGGAAACCTTTCATTCCACATCTTCCTCAGTCTGAAGATGCAGGAACAACATTTACATTCAAACGCCTCACCACGTCAGAGATCTACATTTAGAATACCCATAAGCACCACCAGATCCTCCACCCAGCCTTCGGACAACCATAAACAACACCATATCCACCATCCAAACTTTGGACAACCTTAAACATCAGATCCTCCATACATCCTTAGAACACCATTAAGCACCACCAGATCCTCCATCCACATTTATGATGCCCTTAAGCACCACCACATCCTCCATCCACATTTATGACGCCCTTAAGCACCACCAGATCCTCCATCCACATTTATGACGCCCTTAAGCACCACCAAATCCTCCATCCACATTTATGACGCCCTTAAGCACCACCAGATCCTCCATCCGACCTTTGGACACCCTTAAACTTCATCAAATACTCCATACACCCACTGGACAACCATAAACACCACCAGATTCTCTATTCACCTTCTGGACATACGTAAACACCACCAGATCCCTCCATCCACCCTTTGGACACCCGAAATACCACCAAACCGATTTGCCAAGTGTATCAGACCCTTGATTTTTACACAAGAAAGAGGCATGTTTCAGCAACTAATGAGTAATAAAGTGTTCTGAGAGGCACGTTAATGAAGCCGCGCAGTGTGAACTTCACTGCCGTGCCTCCCAGCAGCCCATCTGCTTTCCATCCATAGTCTCACTTAGACGTCTCTCACCTCACTCTGCAACCCTTCAGGTCTCTAAACAAGCAGAAAAAGCCTTGGGAAAGGATCTTAATAAACCGAAAAGAAGCGATGAGCTGAGCTCAGTGCCCTCCAAACAGGAAAAACGCTGAAAAAAATGGACAGAGCAGCAGCAGCAGTGTTCCGTCTTGGCGTTTCTGCTCCTCTCCCCATCTCCTTCGGTCACATGTCCGTTTCTCCCAGCATGCACCAAACCCCGGCCACGCTGAACCCGTCGAGATCGCCCCGGCGCTTCCAGAGGGATGCAGATGTAAAGAGAAGGAGAGGCTCTGCATTCCCGGCCTCCATTTAAATAGCCACGTTATGCTGAGAAGCTGGAGACGTCGGCTGCAGGGTGGCTGAGTCTTCGTGTGTGTACATGTATAAAATCTGCTTCTCCGTGTGTGATGGCAGTGATATATGACCATCCTCTTCTCGCTGACATGTTGCGCTGTTTTGATTTTAAGCCTAAAACAAAAGGGGGGGATCAGGCCAATGCAATTTATTAATTGCATACATACAACATGTTTAGACATGTAAGCATGACACAGTTTAATAATTATTGTCGAAAACAGTACCACGTCATCGTTGTACATGCTGGCAAATTCCACTATTCTCACAAAGCACTGAAATATTGCAGAACCAGTGACAAATGAGCAGGAGGTGATTCAGCAGAGGGGGCGACAGGTGACTAGAGTACCCAAGTTGGTCTCCGTTTTGGTAGAACTTTCCTGGTGCGATGGAACGATGATCAGATCATGAATCAAAATAGAATTCCGCTGATCTGTATTTTACCACATTTTATCACTCTTTTCCACCACACCAGGTACCGTACTTTTGGTACTTCGAGAAAGTACCAAAAGAACAGTACTAAAGGTGTTGGTTTTCCACTGGCGTAAAAACTGGGACCGGCGCCAAATGACATCACAATGCGTGGCGGGGTATTTTGTACTGAATTACTGTAGTATGTTTTAGGGCTGTACGATGTACAATATTAATACCAAAATCGCACGTTATTCACATGCAATTCCTATACCGCAAGTCATCTATATTTGAGGCTTATAATCAGATGGTCCTTGGTGCAGTGGAAAAGCACCCAATGTATGCAGTGTCAATGTGTAAGAACGATGCTATGAACATCCAAAAGGGGGATGGGGCAGAATTGGTAAAGGTTGGTAAGAGTGGCAAAGGGGTGTAAGCCCTTGCACAAGCAGACACCATTCCTCTGATGATTGTCTATCTTTCAAATGCACACATGTAACAGGGTGCAGCACTAAGCATGGTGCCACCCATTCCCTGGGGGAACACTGAGGGGGTATGCTGTCGGGATGTTTGAAGGGGGGTACTATGGGAGTATACTAAGGAGTTCCTTGGAAGGGGTGCTCTGAGGAGGTAATTCTGAGGAGTTTCTTGGAAGGGGTGCTCTGAGGGGGTATGCTGAGGGGCTCCTGGATGGGGTGCTCTGAGGGGGTATGCTGAGGGGCTCCTGGAGGGGTGCTCTGAGGGGGTATGCTGAGGGGCTCCTGGAGGGGGTGCTCTGAGGGGGTATGCTGAGGGGCTCCTGGAGGGGGTGCTCTGAGGGGGTATACTGAGGCGCTGCTTGGAGGAGCTGCTCTTTCTGAACAAACAGAAAGACTACAGGAAAACCCTAAGGGTTTGTCCCAGCAGTGAGGTTGAGCAGGAAGGCTGCAGATCCCTTGTAGTGCACGTCCCCCCTGTTCGGTTCGGACGGCCTGACTAAAGGGTCACTGCTGCCTTCTCTGCAGAGACAGCATGAGGTAGCTGCTCTGGGACAAGTACAGCAAAGACAGAAAAGTGAGGGATGGGGGAGGGTGGGGGGGTGCAAGGTCTGGTTAAAAGGAACAATCTCTGGATAAAACAGAACTAAGAAAAGCAGAGGAGGGACCTACCATGCATGCATTTAGACCCAGGAGTCTACAGGCTGAGGTTTAACATCACAAGTGTCCACCAGATTCACCGCTGGTCTGTTAGTCCTGACAAACTGTTTCCTATTTGTGTCATTCTGCAGTGACGGGAGAAGGGTTAACAGCAAAACGAGAGTTAAAAAGGTGACCCATACGGAGGCGTGTGAGCCAGTGTTAGTCTTCACACTCACACGAGGAAAGCTTCTGGGCAGGATAGCAAAACAGAGCCGAGACATGCAAAACCAAGGCAACGGAACATTTCAGACAGCAGAGCGTGCTGGGGACAGCGCCTCCCCAAGGTGAGGCAAGGCACTGCACTGGCTGGTGACCCAGGGGAAACAAGGCATTGCTGGGTAAAATGATCTTTATCTCTGTAAATTTCTGCTAATCTGGCCATTGACAAGCAAGCTGTTGATAAAACAATTCCAAGTCAACGCATTACATGGAAACTTCTGGTAAGGCTTTGCTTTCACGTTCAGCTTCAATTCTTGGTTTTCTTCTAAACAAATCTTCTATATTTCTGTCAGAATTAAAATAGCCTGAAGCTAGATAGCACATAGTAGATCCAGCCATCTGCCAAGATGTGACCGTTTCATTTACAAGATAAATGTGGAACAGGGGGCAACACACCAGCAAACGAGACACTTCCCTGCACAGCTGGGTTATTGCCATTCATCTGCAGAACCTGTTAAGAATGCTTTCAATTCATTCTCCACCCTTAATTAGCACATCTAGACCCAAATTCCGACACTGGCTCCACGAAGGACCATCCTTTCCCGCAACACTGATGGTAACAGTTGATCCAAACACACCAGATACTGCAGCTCAGTTCTGTCTTAGGGACAGAAAGTCGTTTACACGAGCTGCTTGAGAAGATAGTGGAGCGAGTGGTTAATGACTTCTAAATCTTACAGCTGCTACTGTGAATAAGCAGAGCACCACATAAGTAGAGCGGAATTGGACCGCATTAGTGGCGTGTCACCAGAATGAGAAGACGGCAGAAATGGGCCGCTTACAAGAATTAATCAAGGCGCCCAGGTCTGTCCATCTTACAGCGGCTCACTGTGGAGAGAACGTGAATAATGACTCAGAGCCATATCGCAGGTAAGCCACCGTTAATCACCCTGTCCAGCACATTCTGGGCAGCTTCTCAGAGACTCCCGCAAGCTATAAGGTACCTTCAGCGGTTCCCGTTCTGCCAGGTCACTCGACACATCCCCGCTCTTGTACTTGCAGTCCTTGTCCTTCTGATCGATGGTGGAATATCCATCTGTGTAGACAAGATACGAGGGTTTTGGACTGCAGCTCCTCTTCTTGAATAACTCAACCTAGATGTGTGCAATGAACTGAAAACTGAAAAGTCTTGTTGAAAGAACATCACCCCTAATCTCACCACCCGAGCTGCCTACAGTTACGGAATCTCAATGTTATAATTGATTCTGTAGATTCTGAAGGTGATGTGAGAGGTTCCTGGGGACCAGCGCTCTTCATGACCAAGTTTTAGTGCTCGAAATGGTAAAACGTGGCAGAGAAACAGATTTGCGATGAGCTAACCAGAAACTGGGGCCCCAACTGCAGATCACTCAGTGAGATCATTTTCACAAACCTGCATCAACCAGACCGATAAACACACTTCTAACACCAGTATTAGCCTTCACAACCTTCTCTGGCGCACGTTCGTTTGGAAGGTCTCTGGTGCTTCAAAACAATAAGGACGTCTTTGGCAGGTCTGTACCCCTCACTGGCAGGTCTGCACCGTACACTGGTCTGTTTCCTTCATTGGAAGGTCTGTTGGGGCTCCCTGCAGCTGAGACCCTACTGAACACTAGGCCTGTTCAGCGCACTATCCAGCGTCCAGCTGTCCTCTCTGCCTTAGAGGGGGGGACTCCTGGAGTTAAACCACAGCCTGCACCTTCAAAGCCTCCATTGCAGCTTCAGAACGTCCACCAAGCCGGCTTCTCCGTAGAGTCACAGATGGATGTTACGATACAAAACATTATGCTATAGCCTACATATGGCAATCTTCAACTCATGTTCCTCTTAAGCACTTGCTGCTTGAAAGCCACACCCGGACACACATCTCGTTAACAGAGGGCTCGTTTGGTCAGCCAGCAGGGGGCTCTATATGAGAGCGTATGCATGCACAAATCACTTCCTGTTTATCGTCATTCCCCGAAACCACCAAGAAAACCGTGGTCTTAAGCTCGTAGCAGAACGGAAAATGTTTTCAGATGAATGAGACACTCTGCCAGTCGCTCTCCGACGTCCTGGCTCGTGGAGCGGAATGAATGGAGGTCACGGTGAGTAGGGACGGCACGAACCGACTCCTTACCTGGATCGAGCTCGTCCATAGGTATCATGTCACCACTGATTGATTTCTTGTTGCCTGTAAGGTATGTATACACACCATTTTCACATTATCACAACAGCTGCGCTGCTGGACACTGAGACGCAGTTCAGTACCTCCATCCTTAGTTCTATGTGAATCACAGCATAGCAGGCGGAGGGAATGATAGGCATGGGGAAATGACGCGGCAGGCAGGCGTGGGAAACAGGAAGCGGAATGAGACGCGTGGCGCTGGCGAGGGGGCGGGACCTCTCTGTCAATGAGATGTGTTTGATTGTGGGCGGGTAGCTCTCTCACACAGCCTAGTGATTCGGACATGAATGTGTGGAAACACCTGACACTCATTGTCTACAGCAGTGTTTCCCAGTCCGGTCCTCGGTCCATGTTTTTGCTCCCTCCCAGCTCCCTTGTGTACTGTTTGAGAGGGACCAGACTGGGAAACGGTGATCTATAGGCATCCAAGCTGCTGCCCACAGCCAGGGCAGAGGATTTGCTCAGACCAGGACACGACAGCTGATGGGAGACAAACTGCACGCACACCGCAGGCAATGGGGTCAAGCAGCAGGAAGCACACCAGGGTACCGCCATCTTTAGCCAGCAAAGACAATACATTTGAATACTTCCCAGGCTTCCCCATGTCAGGCTCCTCCCCTAAGCAGGGCAACCCCCAGCTGTGACATCACACACTGCGTCACACGCCGGACTCCTCAGAAGCTCAAAGCTGGTGACTGACCTTGATTCTTCTCCATCAAGGGGAGGGTGGTGTCATCATAGGCTGGCTTGTTACTCCTGGTCCCCTTGGCCTGGCTAGTGGCAGTGGGCTGCAGGACAAGGTAGGGGACACTCTATTACCATGGGGCGGGGTTAGACCGGGGAGGGCGGAGCTCTTTGGGGTGGCATACCTGGAAATGCGTCTTGTTCCAGCCGTCCTTAGCAAGGCTGTTCCTCAGCTCTTTGTGGCTCCACACGGCCTGCAGGACATAGGATGCTGCCTTGGTTTCCCTCTGGGACTGGCTGTGGGGGGGGGGGATGTTGGGGGGACAAAGAAGCAAACAGGCTGGAGGGAATCAGTGGAACAGAACTCAGTGAGATCCTCTCAGTGGAGTCCAGGGCTGGTGTCTTGATGGGACTCACCCCTGCGACGTCCAAAACCCTTTCAAAGAATTTATTCCCTTCAAAGTGGACTTTTAGTGAAAGAAATCTGTAGAAAAACTGCTAAATCTAAATGGGAAAACCAAAAGTAAATTTTACAAATCTATCTGGAATAGGAGAATAAAAGATTGTCTAAAGTTCGTCATCAGCCTGGGATCCTTGATATAAGGACCATGACATGATAGCAGAAGAGAAGGTCTGGTACAGGGAGCTTCCTGGAGAGACCTGCCTCACACACCTGGTCCGGTTGATGGCCACCAGCTTCTCAATGGCCTGAGCCTGGATGAGGGAGCGGGCGTTCTCCGAGCTGTCCGTCACGATCTCGTGGATGGTGTTGAGGACGGCCACCACTGTGTCCTCCTCCAGGTTCTTGGCTGGCCGCTGCTGCCCGCTGGGTAGGTTGCTGACCAGGTCTCTCATGGCGTAGCTGCCTGTGGGGGGCGCATGTGTGACAGGTTCTGAGCTTCACTGCACACTGCACTCCATATTTCTGAAGTATCCCCTTCATCTGACCCAATCATCCACGCATCATCCAGCTGTTACCTATCAGGTCTTTATTGCGGCGGTCCATGGACAGGTTCCTCAGAGCGATGGCCACCGCCCGCACCACCTTGTCTGAGTCCGAGCGAAGCAATTCCACCAGGATGGGCAAGCCCTTCTCCTTGCGCACCGTGGCTCGGATGTAGTTGGACCACTAGGGGGCACCAGAGAGACGGTTTTCAGTGAGGAGGGCTGGATCGGCGTGAGTGATTCACAGTGTGATATTGTACGCTGTCGGCTCACAGAAAAAAAAAAAACGTGTGTGTTAGCAAACAGTGCATTTTCCCTTGTAATACGTACAAACCGAGCTGTCCAAGAATTACTTGGCTTTGGTTTGTTGTAAATAACAAGTTGTCTCAATTACACATAAACGGATTAATCTGAAACACTTGGCTTTGATATGAAAGAGCTCTCAGCAGCACATTAGCAAGCCTCCAGAGACACAATTAAAACCAACGCAATGCCAGAAGACTGCCACTGAGTGGCAGCGGTGAGTTGCCAAGCAAGTAATCCCTGTGACTCCATGAATATGAAAAGATATTGGCAAAATGTCCCATTAAAGCACAGAAAGACAGGACTGAATGATCTCTACTTATACAATGTGTCGGCGAGCCAATGGTTAAGATGGCGA